TTCAAAATCGTTTCTAAACAATTTAATTTTTTTAACCAGGACAATGTAAAGTGAGGATTGAACCCTATATTTTGAATTGCATTGTAAATGTTAATACCAGCTAGAATAACCTCTGAATTACAGCTAAAATGCCTGCAATATACTTAAGATTTCATGTGCACTCAGGCAAAAAGGAATGCTCTTTGAAAACATTGAGCCTATTTACTTTTCTCTTTACTATTTACTAATTTTTACTATTTATTTCCTCTTACTATTTATTAATTACTATTTATTACTTACTAATGTACTAATTTCTATTTACTAATTCAAGTATGAGATTTTAAAATTAAAAAGAAATTACATTAGAAATAAAATAATTGTCAAATTACATGTAAAATAGGCATACCCACTAAAATATTATTGCTAGAATTAGAAACCAGAATTGAGTACACAATAAGAATATGTTAATTACATATACTAATTAAAACACACATATAGGTATTTCTCACTGATCCTCTTAACTTTAATCTTCATAAAGAGAACTGGTGTTATTAACTCACTTTAGAGATGGTAAAACTAAACTTCAAAATAATATGAAATTGTGAGAAAAAGATTATTATTCTATTATATTTTTGTTTGTTTATCTTTTGAGACAGTCTCACTGTGTGGTCTGGCTGTCCTGGAACATGCTTAATAGACCAGATTGTCCTTGAACTCAGAGAGCTGCCTGCCTCTGCCTCCCAACTGTTGGGATTAAAGGAATGCAGCATTATGCCTTGTCATACACACATATATGTACAGTAACAATTTTTAATAATATATCAGTGAAGAAATCATAATCTAAGAAACTAACAAATCTACCTACCAAGTAGATGTCTTCTGGGTCTATGACCACAGAAGAGATATGAAAAGAATGATAAAGAGTGAAACTATTCCATGAGATTTTTTTTGTTGAAAGAACAAAAAAAAAGTCATAGGAATCATGAAACTGAAGACAACCATGTTTTTGAATAAAATCAATTACTTTATTTATGTAACAAAAAGGCAGTTCAGCATAAAATCACAATAACAGATATGGCTATAACCTATCATCTAAAAATCAATACAGCTATCTTAGGAACATAAGGCAAATATTTAGATTCAAAGTAGTCCCTGGAACAAGTCTGTCCACCTAGGCAGCTTTTCCAAACCATAAGTCATACCCTAACCTCACAGAGATCTGAAGAGAAATGTAGCTCTTCAAGAACAAAGCCCAGACAGATTTCTGAAAAAGCCTTCCAAATTAGTCTAAATTCTCTGAAGAACAAGTGCCCTGAAACACGAAGTAAAAACAACCATGCACGTTACTCAGGGAAGCAACCCAAAGTTCAGATCCAAGTATGGACAGGGTGATGGGTAAAGCAGGCAAACAGCCAGAGTTAGCAGTCGTTCTTTTCTCTCTTCCACTCACAAAGAAAAGCTTATTCAACTGGAACCAAGAAGACATTCTGAAGACAGCTTTTGATTGCTTTTTCTAACAGTAGTATTCATAACTGCTACCAGCACCTTATTTTTTACAATATGGCACACAAATGATGGTCATGCTATCCAGGGTCGAGAACAGCTGACCAGAGACGCCTCTCTCACAGGAATCCTAGGTAAGAGGCTTTGCCTGGGATGCAAGGGAGCAAACAGCTAATAACCATACCCTTCCAAACATCATCACTATTCATTCTGGAAAAGAGTAATTAAGAGTATCCCTTTTTCCTCCAGACAGGTCTATCAAAGCTATGTCAAGCCAGACCTGGTCACTCACACCTGAAATTCCAGCACTCAGGAGGCTGAGGCAGGAGAATCAGGGGTTTAAGGTCATCATAGCTACAGAGCTATCCTTGTTACGTGAGATCCTATCTGAAAAAACAAAACTGTAAACACATAAATATTATAAACATATAAATCTATATTAAAAATTCAATATAACCAGCTGACTTTTAACCAGGAGGAATTCAACTGATGTATGTACCACAAGGCAAATCAAAGCGAAGTAAACGCTTTGCAGTAAGATTTCACTGCATGGGTACAGGAAAAAAACAAATCCTAAGGTTTTTACCTGCTAGAATGAAAAAGTAATGTTTAGTCTTTCCTAGAATAAAAAGTACAGGGCAGCATCAAAATCATCTCTATTAAGATTTCAGGCTTAAAAATACAAGAGATTCAGTTAAATACAAATTTCATTGAACAATTACTTTTGGGTAAATATATCCTCCTTCCCAATGTTCAGACCATGTGCTCATAAACACAATTACGCAGAAAACACAGATGGGGGAACATTGAGACAAAATATATTCTGAGTCCCTTAAACTGTATTTGAGAAAGAGACCACACACCCTGTGTTCCCAATTATGATTGTGCCTCCTGGCCACTTTCTCCACTCATTCTCTTCATTATCCATCACTAATTTTGATAACACCTTTATCTCTTTTTCATGTGTTTCGTTTCCGAAATATCTGCATTTGTGAGCAGTCTTACTTAAAAAAAAAAAAAAAAGGAAGTCATTTGTTGCAGCTAACCACTCCTAACTTCCAGCTCTATTATTAAAGTGTAAGCTGTCTCTCAGTTACATTCACTTTTATTAGGGGAAGAAAAGGTTATCTTGAAATTCACATACAAAAAGTTGGTGAGTAGCATGGTCTACAAAAATAAATTCTTCCTGTACTTCTTGTTATGTGATACAACAGAGTCATACTAAAGAAAAAATGTGACTAAACACAAACTTTCTAAAATTTAAAAAGAACATTTCATCAAAGATGTACGTATTAATCATTAGTAACCACAGTATGTGCCACACAAGGTAACTGTGCCCCCCTCATTTTGTTCTTTTATGAAATAATGAAAAATTTTAAATATGTACATAAGGCATCTAAAAGTAAACAGAATAGAATCACAAGAATAATGACTTTGTCTGCTACAATTAATCATCTCAAAAGGCTAGATAGAATCAAAGCACAGTATTTTTAAAAGGTCAATGAAAACAGCTTAATGGCTAGCTAAGAAGTCATAATTTGCTAATTTACCTAAGCAGTAGTTAGGATCATCATATAAAATCCTGTCTACTTGTGGCATTTACATAATTCTGCTTACGAGATTGTGATCTATGATACTTTTACATTATAAGCACCACCTATTCAATTACACAAACCTATTTACATATGACATCCGGAGAGAAATGAACAAATGATCTTAAATGCTTGGTAATCAATAAGAACACTGTTTGAGGTTTCAATGTCATATTACAAAAAGAGTCTAAATTAGTGATAAATTGAGCAAATTTTGTTGCTCTTAACTTACTATTCCAAATGGAATGGGGATTTTTAAACGTATTTCACATTTTTTCTCTATATGGTCTTTACACCTGATAATGTAGCCAGACTCCTTTAAACTATAAGTTTGCCTAGAAGTTTCAAATAACTGAATTACAAGTTAGATGACATGATGTATTTTAAATAGTCTCATTTAGTGCAACCCTTGATTTAAAAAAAAAAAAAGCAAGAAGATAACGACACTACAACTTACAGATTTATTTTCTTTTGTTTGTTGGTTTTTTTCCTGACAGTACTGAGAATCGAACTCAGGGCTTCACAGAAGCTGAGCAAGCCCACTATCACAAGCTACAACACGAACACAACTTTTAAATTCTTGCCATTTCTTTAAAAATTCCCCCTTTTAATTTTGGGAATCACTTTTATAACAGCACAAATTATGTGTCCTTAGACAAATTTCAATTGTATCACATTTTAAAATCATAGCTGTCTTACAGTACTTTATGAAATAATTTTTCTCTTGAAAAAATGTCAAGCATTACGTTCATGTACTATATTAATAAAATCTTGCTGAGTAGACAAGGGCAGAGATGTTTTACTTAACAAAGCTTGACACGCCACAACTTTCATACAAAATCTCTTGTACTTTTAATCTGAACATGAGTTAAATTTACGAATTTACAAGTTTACCTGAAAGTCTCGGTTCATTTAAATGGGTAAAGAGAAAGTTGAAATATTTTAAACTACACTTGTTTTCTCATGAAAACCACAGACAAACTGAAATCAAGTGTCATGTGAAACACCCCAGTTTCCTTTACGGCCTACAGCAGGAGCGACGCAATGTTCTGCTCAACTCTTAAAGAGTTCATTAAGCTTTCTACTTCCTCTTCTGTGCCAGACGTCGGCCGCCGCCTGCTCCTCAGTGACCCGCGGGGTCACTGGGAAGATAAGGGTCAGCATCCCGCCGTACCGAAGGTGTGCTCCTAGTTCCCACGGCCCGGAGAGCGCCCACCACCGCCACCCGGGGCTGCTTTAGCTACAGGGCTGTCATTCTAGGCTCGATCCCCTGGCCTGGAAACCGTTTCTGATAAACCTGTTCCCCTCCGAGAAACATTTGCAGTAGGGGATCATATTTCCATCCCCACCAGTTATTTTAAAGCACCATCAAAAACTCGTCTCGCCTTCTTGCTGCCAACAAAAGGTTCGTGCAGGGTTGGGAGTCGAGGAGGTCGACGTCTCTACACGGCCAACTAGACAAGAAATCCCTTCAGCTCGCAGAGGGGGAAAGCTGGTGTTTTCACTCGGAACGGGTTACAACGCCACTGAGGTTTTACAGCCACGCCACGCCGTACAACTGTCAGCCCGGGAGCGGCGAGCTACCGGCTCGGCTGGACTTAAAAAGGAAAGCTCGCCCGCGGGGCGGAGGTTCCTCTTTTCGTTGGAGGGTGGAAAGCGGCGGCGTCCCAGCGCGGGTCTCGATCGCGGCAGCCCTCTGCCGCCCTCACTGAGCTCCCCTCCGGTCGGGAAGCTCGGGGGAGGAGATCGGGTTACGGGGCGCCGCCGCTTTGATTTCGCACGCACACCCCGAAGCGGGCAACTTCTTAAACGGCTGACAATTTGCCAGCCGAGACGACTTGAAAGGCGGAACGCCCCAACTCCAACCCGGGCCCCCCGACAGCTCCTTCCCGGGACCCGCCCGCAGGTGCTCGCCCGGGGACTCACCCGAGGCCATGGCTCGGCTCCGCGCGCCGCCGCCGCCGCCGCCGCAGCTCCCAGCGTCCGGCCAGAGGCTGCCAGCCAGTCAGTCAGCCGGTCGGTCAGTCCGTCCGTCCGCCAGCCAGCCAGCAGTCAGGCAGTCGGTCGGTCGGTCAGGCAGCCAGTCAGGAGGCCGACAGCCTCTGCCGCCGGGACCCGAGTCTTCGGGCCACCCCCGGGCCTCCTCTTCTTTCCCGGCCCGCTCCGGGTTTGCGGCTCACACCTTCCCACCCCTTAATCTTCACGCCGGGTCACTAGTGTCCCGGCTCGCCCTGCCAGGATGCCGCGGCAGGGGCAGGGGGCGGGGCGGACCGCCCAGCGGAACGGGGATTTCCCGCCGCTTGCGTCACTCGCGCCGCCGCCGCCGCCGCCCACCCGGGGCGGGGGGCGGGGCCTCACGGCGGGCGCGCGGGCGCTCCCCCCTCTCCCCTCCCTCCCGGAGCTCCGGCGGCCTGCGCGCTCGCGCGGGGAGCTCCCGGGGTGGGGGCCGCGCGGCGACGGGGGCGCGCCCGAGGAGCCGCGGGCCCCGGAGAAATCCCCCTCCCCCGGTGTCCTTCGCAGCGCCGCCGTAAGCGGAGGGGTGTGCCCGTGACGTCGCGCGGCCGGGCGGCCGGAGGCGGGCCGGGCGGTGCAGCGGGCGCGCTCCTTGGCCGCCCGAGGCCCGCCCGGGGTTTTCGAACGGTGCTTCCCCCCTCTTCCCGATTTCGCACATGCAAATCTTCGCCCCCGCGCCCGAGCTCGCGGCCGGCCGGCCGGCCGGGTGCCCCGAGGGGAAGTGCGGAAGCGCCGGCGCCCGCGTTCGGCTGTAGGGCGCGGGTTTGCATACGGGGACCCCCGCAGTCTGATTTTCCCTCTAGATCGACATTGCGTCTTTTACGAACCAAACGTTCTCAGCCCGGCCGGGCTGCGCGGCGAGGCCGCTGCTCCAGTGTGTGACCGTGAAGATTTGACCGAGATACCCACGACCTAAGCCTGGGCCGAACTGGTAGTGCATTGACGGGTCTGGCGGAATCTTGCTTTGCCTCACTTGCGCATGGCACCTGTCCTCTTGGTCTGTGATGTGTTACCATCTTCATTGTATACACGAGTTGATGGAGGAGGTTTGGAGAAGAAGTAGCTTGTCGGTACTTGTCCTGCGAAGGAAAGGCACGATTTAAGATTACCCAGCCCAAACTGGGTGGTGGTGGCGCACGTCTTTAATCCCAGCACTTGGGAGATAGAGGCAGGTGAATCTCTGTGAGTTCCAGGACAGGCTCCAAAGCTACACAGAGAAACCTTGTCTCGAAAAAACTTAAAAAACAAAAAAACAGATTACCCAGCCCAGTACACTCAAGAGAGCCTGAGGCAGGTGGATTGTCTCAACAACAAAAATAACCCAGGATTATCTGGCTCCGCCCCCTGCGTTCTCCAGTCACTTACTGACTAAAACAAGTATGGAGGGGAAATAGAAAATGGCATCCTGAAGGCTGACAAGGTGGGTGAGGGGGTAACTGCGCTTGCCACCAAGCCCGACAACCTGAGTTCGAGCCATGGAAGGAAGAGAACCAACTTCCTCCGACCTCAGTTGTCCTCTGACCTCCACATGTGCCAGAACGCATGTGCTTGGAAGGACGCTGAAAAGGATAGTTAAAATATATGCCATCCTGTTATTTAAAAAAAAAAGATCATTGTGTCATACAAATACCCCAAAGTGAATTATTTCCTTAAGGAAATAATTAAAACCCGTCAATTCAAAAGTGTCTTCACAAAAGGTATAAATAGTTGTTTTCTTTGGTTAAACACAATCACAGACAAACCACAAAGACAAAACAGCAACAGAAAAAACGATTTGTAGAGTGGATTATGTCCGGCACCCCCGAGGCCAAGGCTGGAGAATCATAACTTTGAAGTGAGGATGAGCTGCAAAACATGACTTTGTGGTGCATGTGAACTGAACACACACACACACACCCTTCAGCCTTTAGTGTAGCCAGATCTATATATACAATATTGTTTCTACTTGTCTAATTGTTTTTATCCAAAGACAAAGTAAATAGGAAGCTACATCTTGAAGCCAAGAGAGGTTTAAATTCTCATGGAGATTTTTAGGCCTTGTGCTGGGCAGGAGGTGGTGTTACTCTACAACTGATAAGGCTGTTAGTTATTGGAGTTTATAGAGAGCAGCATGTGGTAGTTTTAGTGCCGAGTGTCACATGTCTGTAATCCCAGCACACAGGGAGGTGGAGGTAGGAGAAGGGGTTCAAGGTCATACTCTACTATATAATGAATTTACAAAGCCAGCCTGGGCTATGGGAGAGTCTGTCTCAAAAAAACAAACATCCATGAATGTTTTTGTTACTTTATTTCTATAAAGAAAATAAGGTGGCTGGAGTAATCGAAATTGCCTGGGTTCTCCTGAAGGGATACTCCGTGGAAGTGATATTTGAACTAAAGGACAATCCTTTTTCCTGGAACTCACTCTGTAGCCCAGGCTGGCCTCGAACTCACAGAGATCTCCCTGCCTCTGCCTCCCGAGTGCTGGGATTAAAGGTGTGTGCCACCACCGCCCGGCTATGGGACAATCTTAACCATGCATTTGGTGGGTGCGTACGTACGTTTTGGATTTTACCCTGGCTGTGTGTTAAACTGTTAGCTGTGCTCCCCGGGCGAAGGCGGAGCAGCTGCGCTCTGCAGTGATGGGGATGAGACCTTGCTTTGCACTAGTGTTTGTGCAGAGGACACCGTGAAAGGAGGTCGGATATTTGATGTCAGGGCCAGCTGGTAAAATTGAAACAGCTGAGGATTTTTTTTTCAATTAAAAAAAATTACTCATTTTACATGCCAACCACAGATCCCCCTCTCATCCTTCCTCCCTCTTCCTCCCTATCCCCCCACCCCACTCCCTATTCCCTCCAAAAGGGTAAGTCCTCACATGGGGGGACAGCAGAGCCTCAGCTGAGGATTTTTTTAATGAACTCAATTTTGGTAAAATAGAGGTAATTAAACTGGGTGGAATAGCACTTTCCAGTAATCCCAGGACTGGGCAGGCTGATGCCAGAGGATCTGAAGTTCAAGGCTAGCCTAGGTGATATTAGGAGACTCTGTTTCAATAAAATGGCTATTAAAAAATGGAGGTCACTTGTGACTTGAGAACTGTGCTATAAAAATGGTGATCATGAAGCTGAATTGAAGCAGGCTGAGGAGACTGATGGCTGAGGAGAGACTGATGGATGTGGTAGGTATAGACTTTTGAAAGTGTTGAAGAAAACAGAAATGGAGTGCTAGCTGGTGCAGGGTGTGGATTTATATTATGCTCAGGGCTATCACTAACAAACTCAATTTCAACAAGTTAGTACAAAGTCCCCTGTGAGTTGACTGGCTGTCTTCCAAGAGTGACCCAGGTGCCTTCCATATTGCAGTACCAATAGAGAGGAGAACAGGCTGGGCCTGTTCTGACTTACTTTGTGATATGGAATATCACCTTTCAGGCTATCCCTAGTTACCTCAGTTACTTTTCTATGACAGTCACAAAATGCATGAATGGTCAAGGTAATTTATAAAAGAAAGCATTTAATTTGAGGGCTTGTGGTTCCAGAGGGTTAGAGTCCGTGACCATCATGGTGGGAAACATGGAAGGCATGGTACCAGAGCAGCAGCTGAGAGCTTACATCTTGAGACAACAACTATGAGGTAGAGAGAGAGGAAGAGCCAACTGGGAATAGTGTGGACTTTTGAAACGTCAAAGCCCACCCCCGGTGACACACCTCCTAATTCTTCCCAAATAGTTTCATCAATTTTGAACCAAGTTAAAATATATGAGCCTCAGCTGGGCGGTGGTGGCGCACGCCTTTAATCCCAGCACTCGGGAGGCAGAGCCAGGCGAATCTCTGTGAGTTCGAGGCCAGCCTGGGCTACCAAGTGAGTTCCAGGAAAGGCGCAAAGCTGCACAGAGAAACCCTGTCTCAAAAAAACAATATGTATACATATATGAGCCTATTGGGGCCATTCCCATTCAAACAACCACACTAGCCTTAAACTAATCCATTTTACAAGACAACAGCCATGACCTGAGTTACTCCATTTTGAGTATAAGTGCCAAGAGAGAATGAATCTACCATCTTGCTTCTACAAGTAAACAACTGTTAGCTGCCAGCACACCAGAAGACACAGACCAAGAGCTAAATATAGCTAGTGGTAATCAGAAGTGCCCCACACATGAACTTAAAAATCATGTTGCATGTAATCAACCCCCTTACCTGGGACTATAAAAGAAGGAGCACCCCAAGACCAAAATGTGACAGGCATGCTAACTGTCACTCAGCTATCTGTCATAATCCTAGTCTGGGATAATTGCTATATCAAGGACTGTGTTTGCCTCTGTACCAGTCTCCAGCTTAAGCAGAACCTCCTGCGGGTGACACTCAGCTCACATCAAACTGACCCTGTCACTTGGACTGGCATTTGACATTTCTGCACCCGAACAGCTCTGTGTTTGAACGGCTGGATGCCTGAAGTATGTCAGACTTCTTGCCCAATCTCCTGCAGATTCTTCCTTGGGCCTGTGTATGCTTTCTGTCTCTGACCTCAGGAAAGCCTCTGGACTCTGTAGCTTCTTTTACCCTTTCTTAGACATTGTTTAACCTGTTACATATATGCATGGATATACACACACATACATGTATGTATTGTGTGAACTGACCTGAGAGTTAATGCTAATAACTAAGATTAAAATAAAAGAAAGGCTGGTCTCCAGTGGGCAGCTGGAGACTACTTGGGAAACCGTAGTCAACAAAACTGATGTTAAGCTGTGAATTTATTTTTACTTAATAGATCCCGACATTATAGAAAGACACAAACATGTCCATGTTTCTGACATACATGCCCATAATGGGGAAATTCCATAGAGTCTATTTGATAATCAAAGGAATTTATTTGGGATTAACTTACAACAAGCATAAAGGAGTTGGTTGAATCCAGGAGAGGCAGAGGGAGGTCCACTGCGGTTCTCTGGAGAACTCTGCCTTGATCCGCAGCACCAGCATCCAGCATCCAAGACCACGAGGTGGTCAAGAGAGCAAGCATGTACTCATCCCAGGTCTTAAGGGATCCCCCCATTGGCCACGCCCCGGGGGGGGGGGCAGGTACCTAGCTCTTACCTGCTGCCTACTAATGGCGGTGCTTCAGGGTAAAGCACAGATGCCATAACAAATGCCCATAACAAATAAGTAACACCTTTAAGGCTGCCTTGCCAGGGGAGAGCAGATCACAAGTGAAAGATTAATGTGGCCGGGCACAGTCTGCCTTCCTATTACTGTGCACTAGGACAGTACACACTGCCATAGTTTCCAGAGAAATCAGGAGAC